GACGGGGAGAAAGATTCGAAGGTGTTCGGGTGTCATTGTCAGCCTGCTTTTGTCCTGAGCGCCACACTGACCTTATACTTCTTTACAAGCTGTCGTTTTTCAAGGTATTTTGGGTTCTTCCTCACATGAGTGTGGTTGCCAACTGCTGTAATCACAAGCACACCAGTCACATGACGCAACCGATGCCCTGGAGATATTTGGAAAAGGGTAGAGACAGGATGGGGAGAGCCACGGAGAGACAAGAGCAGCGTGGAATGAAAGCAGGAGGAGGAGGAGGAGGAGGTGGAGGAGGGGAGGGGGGGGGGGGGGGGGGGGGGGGGGGGGGGGGGGGGGGGGGGGGGGGGGGGGGGGGGGGGGGGGGGGGGGGGGAGGAGAGAAGGTACGGGACGGGATTGTGAGAAAGAAGATATATAAATATGGGTTCAAACCAGCCAAGTGTCTCTGGCAAGACGCTGCTGCTCCTAGTCCCAGGCACAGCTCGCTAAGTGATAGAGAAAGTAATTAAGAGAAGCCTGTTCAAGTAGATAGGCCTGTAAAGAGATTTGAAGAGGGGAACTGATTGTGCATGTCTGATTCCAGCTCTTCAGAGAGTTCTCAGCCCCAAGGCTTATAGCTTTCAAAGGGCCGTCGTCTCTCTCTCACTGTCTATCTCTCCGTCTCTTTGCCTGTAACATACATCTACAAACAAAATGTGACTCTCTCTTTTCCCACATATCAAGCACACATGTGTTTGTGATAGTTGAATGTAGGACAGGGAGGGGGACTTAAGCAAGAAGAGAAGGTGTCTCTCAATGTAACATCTATCTATCTATCTATCTATCTATCTATCTATCTATCTATCTATTCAATTCAATTCAATTTTATTTATAAAGCCCAATATCACAAATCACAATTTGCCTCACAGGGCTTTACAGCATACGACATCCCTCTGTCCTTATGACCCTCACAGTGGATAAGGAAAAACTCCCCAAAAAAAAAACGGTAGAAACCTCAGGAAGAGCAACTGAGGAGGGATCCCTCTTCCAGGACGGACAGACGTGCAATAGATGTCGTACAGAACAGATCAGCATAATAAATTAACAGTAATCCATATGACACAATGAGACAGAGAGAGAGAGAGAGAGAGAGAGAGAGAGAGAGAGAGAGAGAGAGATGCAGGTAATGACAGTAGCTTACAACAACATTATTGAAAGTAATAATATTATAGTTATAGTTCTGGCTACTGTGGTACAATATGTTGAAAGTATGTATTAATATCTGGCAGTATACATGTGTGACAATAGTCATATGTGTATAATAACAGTAGAAGTATGACTAATGACTAATGATGGCAGCAGCAGCAGGAGGCATCTGGCAGGACCACGGCAGCAGCACAACCACACACGTCACGCTGTCCAGGCACCGCTGCGATATGAGTTAATCTGAGAGACAGTGGAGCACAAAGGCTCCGGAGAAGAAGCCGAGTTAGTGACATCCAGAATGGCCGAGTTAGCAAGATGCAGTAATAGGATGAGAGTGAGAGAGAGAGAGAGAGAGAGAGAGAGAGAGAGAGAGAGGGAGAGAGAGGGAGCCCGGTGTATTATAGGGGGTCCTCCGGCAGACTAGGCCTAAGTCAGCCTAACTAGGGGCTGGTACAGGGCAAGCCTGAGCCAGCCCTAACTATAAGCTTTATCAAAGAGGAAAGTCTTAAGTCTAGTCTTAAATGTGGAGACGGTGTCTGCCTCCCGGACCGTAACAGGAAGATGATTCCACAGGAGAGGAGCCTGATAGCTGAAGGCTCTGGCTCCTGATCTACTTTTGGAGACTTTAGGGACCACGAGTAACCCTGCGTTCTCAGAGCGCAGTGTTCTGGTGGGATAATATGGCACTATGAGCTCTCTAAGATATGACGGAGCTTGACCATTTAGAGCTTTATAAGTTAACAGTAGGATTTTAAATTCAATTCTGGATTTTACAGGGAGCCAGTGCAGAGAAGCTAAAACAGGAGAAATATGATCTCGTTTCTTAGTTCCTGTTAGTACACGTGCTGCTGCATTCTGAATTAGCTGGAGAGTTTTTAAGGACTTACTAGAGCTACCTGATAATAGAGAGTTACAGTAATCCAGCCTTGAGGTAACAAAAGCGTGGACCAATTTTTCTGCATCTTTTCGGGTCAGGATAGGCCTAATTTTCGCAATATTACGCAGATGAAAAAATGCAGTCCGTGAGGTTTGCTTTAAATGAGAATTAAAAGACAAATCTTGATCAAATATTACTCCGAGGTTTCTTACGGTAGTGCTAGAGGCCAGAGCAATGCCATCTAGAGAAACTATGTCATCAGATAAAGAGTCTCTGAGTTGTTTGGGGCCAAGAACAATAACTTCAGTTTTGTCTGAATTTAACATCAGGAAATTGGTGCTCATCCAATTTTTTATGTCTTTAAGGCAGTTATGGAGTTTAGTTAATTGATTACTTTCTTCTGGCTTCATCGATAAATACAACTGTGTATCATCCGCATAACAATGGAAATTTATAGAGTGATTTCTAATGATGTTACCTAAAGGAAGCATATATAGAGTAAATAGGATTGGTCCGAGCACAGAACCTTGCGGAACTCCAAAACAAACTTTGGTACGTAAGGATGATTCATTACGAACGTCAACAAATTGAAAACGATCAGATAAATAAGATTTAAACCAGCTTAGTGCTGAACCTTTTAGGCCAATTAAGTGATCCAGTCTCTGCAGTAGAATTTGATGGTCAATTGTGTCAAACGCCGCACTAAGATCTAATAAAACAAGAACAGAGACGAGTCCTTTGTCTGAAGCAATCAGAAGGTCATTTGTAATTTTAACTAGAGCTGTCTCAGTGCTATGATGCACTCTAAATCCTGACTGAAATTCCTCAAATAAATTATTATCCTGGAGAAAATCACACAGCTGGTCTGCGACTACTTTCTCAAGGATCTTTGACATAAAGGGAAGATTAGATATTGGTCTATAGTTGGCTAACACCTCTGGATCCAGGGTGGGCTTTTTTAGGAGAGGTTTAATTACAGCTACCTTAAAAGACTGTGGTACATAGCCTGTTAATAGGGATATATTGATCATATCTAATATATGAGTGTTAACTAAAGGAAAGACCTCCTTAAGTAGCCTAGTTGGGATGGGGTCTAAGAGACACGTTGATGATTTAGATGAAGAAATCACTGCGGTCAATTCTTGAAGAGAAATTGGGGAGAAGCAATCTAAATATATATTAGATTCTACAGCTGTGTTTGAGGTTAGATAGGTAGGCCTACCATCTGAGGGCAGGAGGTCATGAATTTTGCCTCTAATAGTTAGAATTTTGTCATTAAAAAAGCTCATAAAATCATTACTGCTAAGGGCTAAAGGAATACAAGGCTCAATAGAGCTTTGACTCTCAGTCAGCCTGGCTACAGTGCTGAAAAGAAACCTGGGGTTGTTCTTGTTTTCTTCTATTAATGCTGAGTAATAGTTTGCTCTGGCATTGCGGAGGCCCCTCTTATAAGTTTTGAGACTGTCTGTCCAGATTAAACGAGATTCTTCCAGTTTGGTTAATCGCCAATTCCTTTCAAATTTTCGCGATATTTGTTTTAACCTACGGGTTTGAGAGTTATACCAAGGAGCAAACTTTCTTTGCTTTGTTAACTTCTTTTTAAGAGGAGCTACAGAGTCGAGCGTTGTTCGCAGCGAGCCTACGGCGCTATCAACAAAATGATCAATTTGGGAGAGGTTAAAGTCGGCACGGGAAACCTCTGTTACTGAAGGTATTGGTATTGAATTTAACGACGAAGTAATCTTTTCCTTAAATTTTGTGACAGCACTATCTGATAAACATCTAGTATAGTAACTGTTGCTGAGTGGCGTGTAATCGAGTAAAAAGAAATCAAAAGTAATCAGATAATGATCTGATAGCAAGGGATTCTGTGGAAAGACTTTTAGGTTATCAATTTCAATTCCATACGTCAGAACTAGATCGAGGGTATGGTTAAAACAGTGAGTGGGTTCATGTACACCCTGACTGAAGCCAATGGAGTCTATTAATGAGATAAACGCGGTAGCCAGGGAGTCATTATCAACGTCGACATGAATGTTAAAATCGCCTACAATAATAACTTTATCTGATTTAAGAACTAAACTGGATAAAAACTCTGAGAATTCAGATACAAATTCAGAATACGGGCCAGGAGCACGGTACACTATAACAAATAAAAGTGGCTGCGAGGTTTTCCAGGTCGGATGTAAAAGACTAAGAACGAGGCTTTCAAATGAATTATAATCTAGTTTAGGTTTAGGGCTGATTAACAGACTAGAGTTAAAAATGGCTGCAACTCCCCCTCCTCGGCCGCTGCCTCGAGGAATGTGGGTATTATTATGACTGGGAGGAGTGGACTCATTTAGACTAACATATTCATCTTGACACAGCCAGGTTTCAGTGAGACTGAGTAAATCAATGTGATTATCTGATATTAATTCTATCTATCTATCTATCTATCTATCTATCGTTCTATCGTTCTATCGTTCTATCTATCGTTCTATCTATCGTCCTATCTTCCTATCTATCTACCTATCATCCTATCTATCTATCGTCCTATCTTCCTATCTATCGTCCTATCTTCCTATCTATCTATCGTCCTATCTTCCTATCTATCTACCTATCTATCTATCTATCTATCATCCTATCTATCTACCTATCTATCGTCCTATCTATCTATCGTCCTATCTTCCTATCTATCTACCTATCTATCTATCATCCTATCTATCTATCTACCTATCTATCGTCCTATCTATCTATTGTCCTATTTTCCTATCTATCTACCTATCTATCTATCATCCTATGTATCTATCTACCTATCTATCTATCTATCTATCTACCTACCTACCTATCTTCCTAATACAAACTATGACTCTACAGAAGCATATTGTTTTCTCTTGGTATGTACAAGAAATAATTTAGTACTGTTGGACTTGAAAGTTCTCACTGTCTTTTCCGAATAGTGATCCACCTCTGAGTGCATGGATGCCACAATAGAGCAACACTGCCACCTAGGATGGGCTGCACCACCCTGCAGGTAAACTTAGACTAAAGTAAGACTCAGGGTTCTCATGGAGAACCTGGAAAAGTCCAATAATATCACTTTCCAGGCCTGGGAGGGTCATGGAATTTGTCAAATCTGTTCAAGTTTTAGAAAAGTCATGGAGTTTTGTTTTGTGTAATGAAATTAAGAGTAATGTCCTGTGGATAACCTTCAGTGTAGTGTAGCATAACGGGGAATTTATTTTCTGTGGCTGTTGACGAAACGTAGCTCTAATATGTTTCCTGATTTTCTCCCCTCATTCTGCTTCTCCCTCCATGTTTGCCAGCTAGCTGGAATTATGCTTGAATAGAGTTTGAGAAAGAGAAACATGATGCTGTGACAGTGTGATTTAACATGTAGGATCATGAATCTCAAAGTTTCCTGTGCCCCACTACTACTTTTAAATTGTATAAAATGTGATTGGTCATGGAAATTTTATAATAGATCTTGAAAAGTCAAGGTAAGGTTTTGACATTTTGTCCATGAAAATGTGTGGGAACCCTGAAGACTGTTGTCTCAGTCTTTGAGGATATCGGTCCAGTCTGACCTGAGCTGAGTGCTTTGGAAAATGTTTTTGATGAGAGGGTTTTTCTTTTTGTTTATTTCATTGTCCGAACTATAAAACAGTCACATAGTAATTTGAAAATATCCACATATGTACCATACATTTCCCTCTTTTTTTCCATTTAAGAGAAAGCTCTTAAGATTTCGGGGAGAAGTGAGTACAGTGTGCAGCCATACAGGCACAGACAGACATTTCCCTGATGGATAGATATTTGTCTAGATTGGTTTTCTTGTGCTCCTTTCCATGTTTATATGTGTTATGGTCAGCAATAAGAGCGCAGGGGTTTTCTCTTTTTTTAAACCTTATATATAAACTTTATTCCTTCTTGTCTCTTCTTCTGTTCTCATTTGTAGAAGAAAACCAGCACTGAGTTTTAGGAGACATTTTATGTGAGTTTCACATTATTATTTTTTCTTTTTTTTAAAAAAATCAACAAGATAAGATAGAACTTTATTTATACATACATTTGTAAATATTTAAAAAAAACAAACAAAACAAAGGCAGGATATGCGCACTGAAATGTCCTCCTGAGACCCGCACTTACGTCCCAATGTCCTCAAACGAGTACTTCCTAATTAACAGTGTCTTAGTTTGTAACTGTTGCTAAAATCGGTCACGTGTTGCCATATCAAACTACAGACATTATTAATCATAAATAAACAAGTTTCAACCATAACATGTGATCAGGTTTTGGACCGTGTAAAAAAATATATTCTGATTTTAATGAACACTTTAATCTAAACAACTTCTTCTAAAACGGGTCTTTTGAAGCACAAATATATGTTACGATGATTATAGCATTCTATAATGACCTTTCACTAGACAATTCATTCTTACTTTAGAGAGATTATAAGCATTTTTAGGGCAGCTGGAGACTTGAGGACTTGCCTTTGGAGGCTGAAGTGATTCCTTCTTCCCAGAATCCATCACTGCTCTTTGTTGTTCACTGAGTCCATCAAACAAGGTCAAAACCACACCGCACCTACTGAGCAAGTCAGTTCGTCAGAATTAAAGGTTTTCAAACACAAAGCATGTAAATGCAGAATTATTGTTTTTAGTTGCTTCAAACTAAAATGCATGCTGTGGAACAGTGTGGGGAAAAAACCTGGGTTACTGCAGCGATCAGAAAGCTTGACTCTGTTCACTCACTGTTTGGTTGGGTTCAAATCATCAGGAGAATGAAAAATGGCCTGTGTTACCTGCAAATAATGAGGTGAAAAGTACATTATTTATATTGGAGTGAAAGTATTAAGTGACACAATTTGGATATTACTGACTATGACCTCATAACAAAGTTGTACATACCTTCCAGGGATGGAGACCACAGCACACTGCTGAGGAAGGGAAAGCAAAACTAACGAGTGGCGACATCTACTGGATAAACTGCAGTATTGATGCTAGGCGTCCTGTGCTACGTCAATATAAAGTGGGCCAACCATAAAATAAAGGTTGAAATACGTACGGTCCGATTATCTAATAATAATAATGAAAGAAATAAACGATTTTGTTCACAGCCTTGCTTCATATGTTCTGTTAATAGAAATAAAATGATTTTAATTACGTATATGATTTTTTTCACATCCAAAACTGTAGGCTACAGCTTTCTTTTTCTGAAACAGCTATATTCTACACATTTGTTATATTAAAGTGCTTTTTGATGTATCAGTCATAGTTTTATTGTAACTTTTCTATTTTATATTTATGTTCTTGAGTATTGCAGCACATTCCGTTATTTGTATTTCCTCATCATATGTTTAAATGGTTAATGTGTGCACTAAAAAACAAAGTCGTTGTAAGTGAAAACCCTCTTAGTAATTAATGATTATTATTCTGACGATAATGAGATAATTTCTATGGTTCTGTCAATACAATTGAGTAGAAATGCAAATAAAAGTCAAATGACTGAGGAGGGGGAGTTGCTTTATTTTAATGGTGAGCACATTTTAACATTCTTTATTTGAACAACGGTGTGTAAAAATGACTCAGTATACAGTTAAAATTATAGAAACAACAATAACAGAGAGGCAGGGGGAAACCACACGACACCAAGATATTATAAGACATATAGATGTCAAGTGTCTTAATAGCCTTTCATATGGTGTTCAACATCCCTTCAGAAAAACACAAATATGAGGGTTATTAATGCTAAAGTAATATTTATGGATAAAATACTGGAGTATTTATCAAGTTAATTATTAAATGTTTTTATTACTTTGACAATATTAATTTTACTATTATTGCTGGATTTTTTTTTGCAGTCAAACATATTTTCCCATTAGTAGTTTATCACTTGTATTATTTTATGTGTTATTTATTTTTTCTGTACTTTTGAGTTCTTAACTGTGAACTTTTTATTAAGGGGAGGCTTTAAATAAGCCCTCTGGGTTTTTTGCCTCTCCCTGCGCTGTACTTCATTATTCATTTACCTTTTATGTGGTTTAATCGTGCAAAAAATAAACTATATATAAACTATTAACTATAAACATTTTTTTTTTCAAAGTGTTGTCTTGTTTTCTTGGGTATTTAAGGACATCAAACACCATATTTTCCATAATAAGAAAGTCTTTGGAGATATGGTCCATTATAAATCTTTAAAAGTTCTTCCAGAGTGTCTTGGTGTGAGAAAAATGCCAGGAAAGGTGTTAAAACAAGGTGAACTCATTACAGTAGCTAATTGGCCCCTGCATCTGTCATGCGTTACACCACTGTCGTAAAACGTCTCTGTCTGCTGTTGCAATGGCGTTTGCTGCGACAGCACTTTCCGGCAGCAGGGAAATCGAGGAGAAAGCAGCGACAAACGTCGCCAGCGGATACGTTATCGCCTCAAAAAGCTGTGGATTTATGCGATATTCGGTGAACTAACGTGTATATTGATTGTATATCACTTCGCTTCGTGGATGAGCTTGTGTTCAACGTTTTCACAGCTTGAATCTCCACCTTAATGCGGTGGGATGGCCACAGTGCCGCCTGGGCCTAGTAGCGCACTGCCTGCATCCCCGGCTGAAATTCCTCCTTTCCCCGGGGCTGAGAGCGCGGAGCCGGCGGGGGAAGACGGAGAGCCGGCCTGTCACAGGGAGGACTGTGTCCCCGCCGGTTCAGGGAAGACGTCGGAGCCGGTTAGCGAAGTCAATAGGTCGGTTACGAAGAAGCAGAAAAACATGCTAGCGCGAGCTAGCCCGGCGGCGCTGCACCTCAAAATGCAAGCCCGAGAGCAGCAGCAGCTAAACGGCTTGGCCGGCCCCTTAGAGGACGCTGACAGCCACCAACACACAGGAAACCGGCCTGACAATCCGAGACCGTCCGTGGACAACTGTGACAGCAGCAGCAGCGGCAGCAACGAGGAGGCTCCAGCCGCTAGAAACAATAGTGAGCATTGCCAACATGAAGGCCACAGCCCCTTCTCCAAAAACGGCAGTCACTCTCCTGTAGTTAACAATAGCATGAACGGGATGCCGGGTTTAACAAGAACTGAAGCGGCCCACAGCCAACCCGGGGACGAAGGGAAAGAGGAGTTTGACCTCACGGAGCCGCCGAGACCGCCGAGCGACGAGCCGCCGGACGCCGGGCCCGGCCGAGAGGAGAGCCTCGCTGACCCGCAGCAGCAGCAACCGCCGGCCGAGGAGCTCGCCCGGCTCGACCTGAGCAGCTCTCCCGGCCGAGCGGAAGAGGACAGCTATGGCATCCGCTATGTCCGCTACGAGTCCGAGCTGCAGATGCCGTGGATCATGAGACTGATCACCAAGGACTTGTCTGAGCCTTATTCAATTTACACCTACAGGTACTTCATCCACAACTGGCCGCAGCTCTGCTTTCTGGTGAGTGTGACTCTGAAAACATGTCAGTGTGATGAAAATGCCTGCATTCACCTTTTAAACTCTGAGCCAGAATAAAGTGTCAGATATCATCCCAGCCTGTGGACTAAGGTTACCTAAGGGTGCATAGCATTATTGGGGCTGGGTGTGACTGCATGCTTGTAGCTTTCATCACCTGTCAGTGTGTCTCAAAGGCAGCCAAACACAGAGCACACACATCGATGAATGTGTTACTGACAGCACACTGGTTTGGAAATTGTACTGTGACAGTTGGCAGCTACAACACCCACTTCTCTGTCACAAAGCCTTGATCCTTTGTGGATTTTAGTTGGAATTAAGACCTGTTAAATCAAGTAAAGGTGCCCCTTACTGTTAGTCACTTATCTAAAGGTCCTTGACCTGTCACATGTGCAGGAATTCAGAAGCAAGCAAACGTATAAACCCCTTACTGTCCAGTTTTGAGAGTAATGTGCTGTGAGTGTGTGTTTCCTCTTGCACTCAGTGTCCAGTCAGGATTTTCTACTTTGACAAACACTATCCTTTCTTTGCGTATCCTCTGAGCCCCAAGGTCGTAAACTTCCCAGTTCCAGTTTGTCTGGAACGACGCATGTAACACAAGAGGAAGTGCAGTGAAACAAAGGTCAGAGTTCAGCTCAGGGAACCAGCACAACTGGCAGGGTGACAGGAACTGTGGAGGAACTGTTGCTAGGCTTTCAGCGACCACCCCAGCACACACTCAGGAGGATCTAACTGTTGTGTGTTTGTGTGTGTGTGTGTGTGTGTCACAGGCCATGGTGGAGCAGGAGTGTGTCGGAGCCATTGTATGTAAGCTTGACATGCACAAGAAGATGTTCCGTCGTGGCTACATCGCCATGCTGGCCGTGGACTCGAAACACAGAAGGAAAAGCATCGGTGAGATCTGCACTCTGCATGTCACGTACAGGATCAATATAAAAGTCTGTCCTTTTGTGATGTGGAGCCGAGACCAAGTTGTGCAATTGCGTCTTTTGTGCTTTCTTTGACAACCAAATCTCTCAATGCAAATGCAGTATTTAGATAAGATGTACACTCTGAGTTGATTTGTTTAACTTTAAGTGACATAGTTTACCTTCTGCCTGTCTTGCGCACCAGACATCAAGCCAGAAAAACAGAAAAACCAAGTGATATTTTCTTAAATGTTTGTGTTTTGTGTGTTTGCGTGCCGTCACTGACTTTGCCTCTTTTGTTTCAGGTACTAATCTGGTGAAGAAGGCCATCTACGCTATGGTGGAGGGTGACTGTGACGAGGTAAGATACAAAGTCCCATTCCTGCAGGAGGATTTCTCAGGCAAGCAACATGATTTTTTTGTACAGGGATGTCAAACATACAGCCTGTAGGCCAGAACCAACCCGCCAAAAGGTCAAATCTGGCCCACTATATGATTAGACTAAGAGATGCCAGCATTCAGGAGCAAGTTAAACATTAGCCCTTTTTAAATAGGAGATGTGCAAATTTGCAGGAAAGCCCAATCAGTCTTTTTTCAGCATTGGCAGTATAAAAACAAAATCGGGGAGTGCAGCAAAATGCCGCCTACCTACTTTTGTTTATACAGAATGTGCCTTTTTCGGGGCAATGGGGGGCGTGAGCAAGTAACAAAACGTGTAGCTCAGCGTGTGACGTAAACAGTGACGTGGGAGGGAAGCCGCGGCTGGTCAGTCCTTCGGCGATTCTCTCATAAGTCGGCCCGCCCTTTACCGCTCCCGTCATCTGATGGTTAATGGCCTCTTCGTTTGCGAGGACAAGGAGGGTGCGCAATTCCTTGTCTCCCCAGTTGCTCATCTTTACAGTGTCTGTCAGGTTTGCGTTTCCCTCTTGCTACTAGCTGCTCACTCATTCCTGCTATCAGCTGTTTATTCACCGCCAGTCATCAACAGCTCCTCCCACAAGTCATCAACAGCCCCTCCCATTGTGGAAGGCCGCCTCGGTCTGTTTAAACTAAAAGGGTTCTGCCAATATGTCTACCCTACAAGGCGGAAAATTGGGCGCCTCGGATCAACTCGCCAATCCGGCTCTGTGTGTCTAAACGCTCGCAGCTTGCCGGCAAAACTACCCAACATTCGTGGAAAATCTGGCAGTGTAAAAGGGGCTAATGCTTTGCAAGACTTTTCCACCCTGACCAGGATACAGCTCTCTGGTATAACAATGAATATTCACTGTGACCGTGTTGAAATATATTGATCATTGTGCAAAATGTTGTCAATCAGCAGCTTCAGTTCGAAAGAATCTGTATCAGGAAATGTCTGGATAAATGCACGTGTAATAACAGTGAGAAGTAGACTGACTGAATGTGGAAAGACATACTAGTGAAGTTGCACTCATTTTTCTTAAGACATCTCAGGCTGTTTATCTGTTTTGTGAAAGGATGAACGTCTACAGGATGTACTTGTAATTCTTTAGACACAAAAAAGGGCAAATATTGGAGCTGATGATAGTTACAGCTTAATGTGCAATGGTTTTATTGGTCTGGTCCGTCTGAGATCAACTTGGGCTGCATGTATCCCAGGAACTAAAATGAGTTTGACACCACTGCTTTAGCACATCCAGAGAACATCTACATTTTTAAGAAAAGCCTGAAACACACACATGGGTTGGTGTAAACATGCTCAGGGTTTATGCCTGAGATTGGCCCACATTTGCATTAGCAGCATGCCAGCAGTAGACGGGAGGAGTGTGTTGCATTTACATAGCCAGAATATACAGAAAAAAAAGACAGAATTGCTGGAAAACACAGTAAATACATAAAAAAATACACTGCCCAACATTGAAATCTCTCCGTGAGCATGAACTAAAAGTAAAAAAAAAAAATCTGCTTGTATTTCAAGGACCAGGTTCCCTTCCTGTCCTTCACTTATTTTCACAGTTTGCCTGTAACCTTGGTTTGATTGTCAGCTACTCCGAGCCTTTCAGTCTCGTCCCTCTCCTACGAGCTGTTTCTCTTGCTCCTCTCAGCGCCGGCGCCAGACAGTTGTCAGCGAGGGGGCAATGATGTTGATATTGTGGTGGGCCACCACAAATAGAAGAATGTGGGGGAGACCCTGGGGTCAGTTTGGATTCATCAAAGTCGTACAGTAACAGAAACAAACTAACCGACCGAGGCAGCTGTAGACCAGCAGCTCCTGTGCTCTCTGAGGTAAAGTTACTCTTTTGTAAAAGGAGTCTTGCGGCTTTGAAGAGAGCAAAGATAACAGCTTCAAAACGGGCTGTTTGATGGTGAGGTGAAGCAGTGAAAATATTCTAAATATAGCGTACACTTAAACTGATATTGATAACAGGCTTTTTTAGGGACTGAAAGGTATAATATGCAGGATTGTCGGTATTGTTTGTACACCTGCCGGCCAGCGAAAGTGAAAGTAAAAGCCAACCCTGGATTCACTCCCGTTTGGTGTTTTGCCTTGTTATATTTGCAGTTAATCTGCACTGTGTCTCTTGGATGCCTGCTGCTTATGGTCTGGCACCTGGTTGCTGCCTTTCTATAAAGCCCCAACCTCAAATGAGTGTGCTGTTAAAGTCCAGCGCACAGAAAATAAGAAGAAGATAAGAAAACCAGGCAGAGGGCAGAGTCTCTGCAGATAAACGCACCACCACACACGCTGGGAGGGAAAATTTCTCCATGAGGCTATACATTAGCTTTGAAGAGAGCAGAGATAATGGCGTCAGAGCGGGCTGTCTGATGGCGAGATACAGCAGTGAAAATATTCTTAATATAGCGCACACGTAGACTGATATTGATAACAACACTTTTAAGAAACTCAGAATATTAGATCACTTCTGAAAACAGAGAGATAAGAGTACTTAATGTCTACATGATGCCGCTGACCATGATTTTATTATGAGTATCTTTAACTCACAAATTTATTTGCAAATTAATTGTTTTAATTGCAGTGGAAACTGCTTATAGTGATCACCGTTAAGCCCTGTTTCCACTGTGAAAAGTTGTGGATGGTACCAATGGAACCCCATGTTTGGTCCCCCCTCTGTTGGGGTACCTAGCACACAGGTACTGGTACTAAAAGGTGGAGCTGTGAACACTGCAGTCTGATTGGTCAGTAGAGTACGGTCTCTGCTCAGGGCTGAGTTGTGTCTGGTTTTGAAGCTCATGTAACCTCACATGTAGCCTACTCTTGAGCATGTATACTTGTGCAGTGGTGTGTCTGTGTCACTCTGCAGTTACACCTCCAAAACACTAGTCAGCGGCAGGGTTACTGTGAAGTGAACACACATTAAACACACATTAAACATGGCTTAATAGAGACAAACACAGGTACACAAATCAGCTTCACTATAACTCACAGCATTCACAGACAGACACTTGTCTTTATCTGGACACATTTTCCCCACAAATACAACATGCTAACGTTATTAGCACAAGCCTATGGCATTTTACATTGTATAAATTAGCCTAGCAGCTAGCATTTTTTCCTCTACTCATATGAAGCCAGGGACAACAGCAACATTTAACAAAGGTAACGTTACAAAATTCAGCTCCATTACAACTCACAAGGTTCACTGATAAAACAACTGTCTTATACTGAACAAGTTTTCCAAACAAATACAACATGCTAACGTTATTAGCACAAGCCTATGGCATTTTACATTGTATAAATTAGCCTAGCAGCTAACAGAGATTTCCTCTGCTCATTTGAAGCCAGGATAAATCACACACAAGACTTAAAATGCTATTTTAGTGGAGGCTTTATTGTCTTCACAATTTATTGTTTATCTCTGAAATTAAAGTAAATAAAAGCTTTGTTTCCACTGAGGGAAATGGTTTCAGCTTACAGAAATAGACAGGAGGTCTGCGTCGCCGCGACATGTAGTTACATTTCTGGGAAAGTGCGTTCCCTGACGTTGATGCTGAGCCTACGCCGTAGCTTCGGCGTCAGTTCGACGCAGAAGTATATATTCCACTTAAGGCCTGGATGATGGGATATTCTGAGACAGAGAGCCTGCACATATATGGATATATAAGATTTCGTATTAGAGCAGGGCAGGTAGGCACACTGACATTTCCAAACATTTGGCTGGCACTGCACCATCAATGAAGTTTAAGAAGAAGTCTTATGCCATTGTTATAGGCCACATTAAGTCTTTGAATGTTTCTCTTCCTATAGGAGCGCCACAAGTGGGCGAAGCCGTCTGTTTCATTACCATATATTTAAGTTTTAAGTATACAAATGTCAATTAGAAAGTAATCTGTTAGAGAAATAAAGGCCGCTGGCTGTGGATATGCTTCTCTCTGAGTAGCTGTAAACTCACTCACCTGCTTCTCTCTCACACACACACACACACACACACACACACACACACACACACACACACACACACTCACAGTAGGTTTTGAAATCTCTAGAAATGGCAGGTGTTTGAGGTGGAAATGAGATTCCGTATTAAACTTCCTCTGATCTCTTAGAGGCCAGAACTCTGACGATGATTCACCAGAGTTGTGATTTTCTTGTTGGTTTGATTGTGTACACACAAACGGCACCAAGTGTGCTTTTATAGAAATTTATTTTTTCATCAATCAGGCCACTGTGAACACTGTAACTGTGTCGCAAGCTGCATTTTTCAGCTTGTGTATCAGCAGGCGGTTTTTATAAGTATCATAACCCTGACTAAAACACACCACTTCACTCAACTGCCAACTATTGTTGTTATTGTTTAATCTTCCCCGCTGGCTCGTGGCTTTATTGCTGTACTCAGATGCGCATAGGCAAATATCCCGGGCTACCAAATTCAGTTTGTCTTCAGAGTTTAATTTCCCAACTGCTTTGCTTCTAAATGTAATATCAGTCGACGGCATACTTTTACAACTTTAATATAGACCAGCCTTGAACGCACAAACACAACCGACTGCTTAACTCCCTTCTTGCTGCTGCATTATTACGCAAACACACATCTTTCACAGAGAAATATGTTACTGAAGGTCACTGTAGCAGTGCAGTGAATGGAAGCTAGTAGCTGCTGGGAAGAGAGGAACTTGAGTGCGCTTTGGAAAATGGTCGTTCGCTAAATGCACAATATCTATGAGAAATACTCAGCACCTCCTTAGATGTTGTGTTTTATCACAGCGTAGTCAGTGTCATCAGATTACTTTTTACACTGCCAGTCATTTTATTGCACTCACAAAATATTGTCTTGTACATGTGCCTGCTGGCTCACTGTCACACTGTCCTGACTTACTGGGACAGAGACATTGTGAGATGTTACTCTGCTGTGTACTTGTCTCTCAAAATGTCTGCTCCATGACATGTTATTCTACAGGAAGTAGTGGAAAACCCCTAGCTTAGCTCAGGCAACTTCAAAACTGTCCTGTTCCCACTTTGAATGTGTGTATTTAAATAGAACATGAGACGTTGTGGTGTAATCAGCAGCAGCTAGTTTACTCATTGAAGCTATTCTTGACCATCAACAACTGACCCCAAAAACTACACAGCAGCTAAAACATCAGGTGCCTTAAAGGGAAACTTCGATATTTTTTAAGCCTGACCCCATCCTCCCGTGTTTTTCTGTCTAAGTGACTAATGGAGACAATTATTCAAAGTGGTCAGGTATTGACAGAGAGCGCTGCAGCCACAAAACTAGCTGCAATGTAACCACTATTATGCACCCTCAGTTTACGTCCATTAAAGGTGCTTGTTTTTGCCACTGACAGGCTCAGTTTGTTATTTAAGTGTCTGATACCATAATGGAAAGGATCCCTACGGAGATAGACCTTTATGTTAAAGAGTAAGATTCTTTCTGTCGAACCAGAAACAGCCCCGAAATCGCGGTCACCAAACCCACCAGACTCCATTTAAAAAACAGTACTTTTATCTTTGTAAAATACAGTTCAATCAAAATTGACAGTAACAAAATAAAACTCATAAAAACTGTCTTGATATGTCTTTTCACCCTTCCAACAATCACCAACTCTGGTTTGGTTGAAATAAACCCTTAATTCACCCAGTTAGATGTGAAAACATGCTGCCTCTATACACGCTAAAATCACTGTTTATTTAAATGGAGTCTGGTGGGTTTGGTGATGGTGATTTAAGGGCTGTTTTTGGTTAAATTAAAAGGATCTTACCCTCTAACAAAAAAGCTCTATCTCTGTAGGGATCATTTCCATAATGTTGTCAGACACTTAGAATAATAATCTGAACCTGAGATGATTTTCTTAGCTTTGCTCGACCTGGTCTGTTTGTTAGTGTGTAGCCAAATCTCGCTCAAGGAGAAGTCTTTTCACATTTTCAAAATCAGCTAAATACTCAACCATGACATTGAAACATTTTAGATAAGACTAAGCTATGTTTCCTGTAGTCCAACATAACATTATCTTCCTGGTTCTCTTCTCTCCAACTCCCACTAACATTTACACCGCTGTCTTAGTGCAACAAGTCACCTCTCATGAGATGATAGAACGAGACTCCTCCTTGAGCGAGACTTGGTTATACACAATAACAAACAGACCAGATCAAGAGAAAGGTAGAGTAAAATGTGTCATTTCTCTGTAGGGATCCTAGACGTTTATGATGATAACAATCTGAGCCTGTCAGGGGCAAAAACAAGCACTTTTAGTGGACATTAATTAACAGTGCGTAATTGTACCAGGATGGTGAAATTGCAAGCTGTTACGCCACTGCGACCAATTGCAAATGTTTCCATTAATCACTTAGACATATAAATATGGAAAAAACAGGGCCTCGTTGAAAAATCCCAAAGTTACCTTTACAGCTATTTTACTGGCTTTGCATGCCGTTTATAACGATGTACTAAACCCAGCTGACTCTTGGAGTATTGGAGACTAGCCTGCTAGCTAATGAGTTACAACATGTAACTGAGACAGGGTTAGCACTAAGACTATGATAAACTCAAAGGGCAGTCAGAGAGCGCAGACCAGTCGTCCAGTCCTCTGTGTTATGCAAATCTGCAAGTGCAGCCCTGTATACTCTGTGTCTGGATATATTTCCAAAAGTATTAGAATGATGTCAGAATTTGGTTATGCCTGAAGCCTCATCATCTTAGCTGTGTGTTAATATGTACTTCTGTATTGCAACCAATATTACTGCTTGCTCTCGTAAAGCAAGAACATTTTGTTCTAATATCTGCGGTAGAGTTTATTGCAGAGGATTCACATTTGAATTCGAGTGAGAGGCCCTGGTACACCAAGTGGCTGGCCATCGGTCAATATTTGGCCATCGGTTAGCACCTGTGGCCCTCGTTGGTGCTAGTTGGCTTTTTTTCCACCAGTGCAGCTTGTTGAATCAGCATCTGCGACTGCAGAGAGCGAAAGTCAAGAGGGAGTGAGATCAAAACAAATTTGTCACATGATGTCATATTATTTGTCTTTTGCAGAAACACCACATGATGTTTTGTGTTATTGTTCACTGGCACTCGGTAAACACACTCTGTTCTTTCAACATTTGCCACTAGTTCTCTGAAGACAGTTTGGTGTGTCTGGGCCATTAGTCGCATGATATGTGTGTATTTACGTTCCCATAGCCAATAAAAATCAGGCCAGTAGTTTTCCTGTAAGCTTGAGCTGAGAAACTAAATTCCTTGACAGAAGTAACAACAGCTGAACTAGCAGAGAGGAATTTGATATAAATCCTACGGCAGAGGATAACATAATAATGATATTTTCCTTTAACAGGCTGAAACATGCAAAACAACTGTTTGGGTACACAAAAACCAAATATATGTTTTGTACCAGGTTACAAGGATCAGTCAGTCCATTCATGTATAAAACAACACACTGACATGTCCATGTGTGTGTCCCCAGGTCGTATTGGAGACTGAAATCACCAACAAATCAGCCCTGAAGCTGTACGAGAACTTGGGTTTTGTCAGAGACAAGCGGCTGTTCAGATACTACCTGAACGGAGTGGACGCGCTGCGGCTCAAACTGTGGCTCCGCTAAGAGGAAAGAAGAAGAGGGGACGGGGGAGGACGGGACAGCGGGTGCTGTTCACCTCGTACGCTATCGGCTTGACAGCCTCAGCTCTGCCCTGGTCATTTCACTCTTATACACAACACATACACACACACACACACACACACCTGTGTACAAACATAAGGAGTATGCACATAGGTATGCATAGACACGCAGACACACCCTCTTTTTGTCCTCGACCTCCGAACAACTGTTGTTTAGGCAAAAATGAACTGACATCCCACCTGATGTTCTCATGAAGGTGCCCCTGATACTTCCTGTGACGAGGACAGGGGGGCGAGAGAGGGTGGTCTCTGGGATGACCTTGACTGGGGACTAGATGACCTTTTGACCTTCGAGCTTGGATGCCGCATTGACCCGGGACGTGAGGCGGGAGGCAGCTCAAGTGAGGACGTGCGTCCGAACCCCAGAGGACATGGCACCACAGCGAGTCCTCCTGCAGAACACAGGACACAAACAGACTTAAAGAAAACAACAACACGTGAAACAAGGAGGCGGGGCGGTAAAAACAGACTGGGAAGAAAATATTTGTGGAGTTTATTTTTGTGTTTCTTTTTTAACCTTGTGAGTTGGACGGGGGGACGGGAAAAGCTAAAGTATGACTGCGTGTTTGTACCGCCTCATTTTGTTTTTGTTTTTCCTTTGGAGTGTTTGGCTTGTTTTTGTGTGCATGTGTACGTGGCGTGGTTGGTTTCACTGTGAGCAGGTGAACGTGTTTGTGCGACTGTGTGAGCGCATGCTTGGTTGTGCGTACTGTTGTGTGTTTTCCGTTTCCCATCATCCTGTCCAGCGGGGCGCAGCGGCTCCTCGCTGCTGTTTCCATCACCTGCCTCAGCCTCTGGGACTGAAGCCTGTAAAGATATGCATGCATTTATTTTAAAGTGAGTGCGGGGGAAAGTGTGCAGAGTGTGTGTTGATTAACCCAGTCGAACCCCCTTCCTGCGTTTGGTGTAAGCATGTTGGTGCAGAGCAGTTGATCGTAAAACGAATCACTCCATTAGCGCCTCAAACTTTGCCCGACTGGTGGATCTGACACCTTTTTGCTTCAGTGTCCTTCTCTTAATCTCATCATCAAACCCCTGACAGTATGGATGAGTCTTTTCCTTCCTATTTTTGCAAATCAGAACGTGTTTTCCCCGATTGCACTGCCAGCCGCTGTAAAATTCCCCAGAAAAAAGAGTCTTCTAAAGAGACTCCTTGCCAATGATGGTGTGGTCAAATGCGTCCTCGCTGTCTCAGTTTACTCCTTTTAGATTATTCGTCTGTTTCTCCTCATTGCAAGTGCCACTCAATCCATCAGCACTCTCAGCCACGACTGCAGTGACGTTCCTGCCAACAGGCGTCACACGGCAGCCTCGGCCCGCTTCTGGTCTGCGCTCGGCGCCAGACCAAAGGCAAAGTGTTACATATGCTGGAACCTTGTTTGAGTATGCTGTGCGTGTGTGTGCGTGTGTGTGTGTTTAAGGAAAATAGACAAGTATTCTTAGCAGATTATATTTTATTCTTTCAGTTTGTTTAGATTGTCTAATATACACCTGTATAACCTCACGCTGCTTGCGAGCGGCTGAGTCCACAATGCACTTCCCAGGTGCCCTAACTCAATGCACAACCAACCTCGCTAACATGTTAAGATCTCCAACCTGGAACACGTCATAGATGCACCCGGACGTTCCAATCCACACTAATTATGGCAAAGAAAATTTGCTTCAACTGCTTTTTTTTTTTTTTTTTCTTTAAAATAATATGAACAAAGGTCAGATGCACTTCTTTGGAAATTGCTGCAGTGTGTATGTGTCCGTATGAATGTGTCCTGTTGTTTTTGACAATGGTGTGGATCTGTTAGACTTTTATTTCTCTACTTTCAGAGGCCCCGCACAGGAAGATCATAGCCTTTGAGGTGCTGTGTTTTGTTCCGACCTAATAAGGACAAGAGAAAAGAACAAATCACACACTTCGTTTTTTGTTGTTTTTTTTTGCTTTCCAGGATTCGACTTAGTGCTCAGTGTGACAGAAAGGGCAGGAGACAGTTTGGATGACAGTTGAGGGGAGAATAAACCCTAAATCAGCTTTGATTTTTTTTTTTTTTTTTTAAAGTCAAATTAAAAAACCACCAGCATCACAAGTGGTTAAAGAAATACTTCACGTTCACAGTGCCCATTTCACTCAGCGTATTGTGTTAAAATTGTGGTTAAAAGTTTGTTTTTCTCGCATGCCTCCCGCGTGAACGGAGAATCCAAAAAATCCCCCCCCCCCAAAAAAAAAAGATTTAAAACACCTCAGTAAAAACAGTCTCATGCACAGCTGAGAAGCCTTTCTGGATGTATGCATGCTCTTGAACTCTGCTGAAGTGGAGCTCATACACAACTGCGTGCTCAGGCCCACTCAGGGCAAGTTATTTGCCGACAGAAGTGTTTACTTTTGTCACGTTTTAGCGAAAATGCATGTGTTTGAGAAGTACTACGCATAGTGCTGGATAAATGAGACATGAATTGTACTGCAGGAGTTGTGTGAGAGTTTGTAATTGGATGACAGTGACTTCAATTCATGAAGCATTTTCTCAGTTTTTGGATTCTCCACTCTTAGTGAGGCAAGCAAGAAAACAAAGTTGTCTTATGAATTCAGGGTAACAAACGGAGAGTAATTGATTATCAGATGGTCATTTTGCGGGTGAAGTATTCACGTAATGCCAGTTTAACGGTAAAATTCACCACCTGTTACGTGGATGTCCAACCAGTGTTGATGGTAAATGTAGTCCGTTGAAGAAAGTGCGTGCTATATTGACTGAGAAAGCAAAAGTCCTGTTGTAGGGCAGTGCCTACATGTACCAGGATGCATTGTGTGCGATACTACTTTGCTGCCCAAAACAGCGTTGCGAGTTTATCAGCTGCACGTGTGCTTCTGCAGGCAGCTAAATAAAAATGGGGAGGCTCCGTAGTCTGAATCGGCGAGAACCAAGACGCCAACACTATTTATTATTTTTCCCATGGCCCATGGCAGTGCATCATCACTTCACTCCCTCTGTATTTTACCTTTCACAATAAAAGCCCAATGTAAATTACTCACAGCATTTCGTTAAGAGGCGGTTTCAGAACTTATCATCTATCTACGAAAAAGCCTCTGGGGGCGAGGGCCAATATGTCAAGCTGATCCAGTGAGGTTGCAGATAACTGGGCCAAGACTACTATTTCTGTACATCGTTCGTTTTGGCTAATCTCTCTAACCAGATATCTGCACATGAATGCAAATAAATTACTAAAGTTAATATAAAGCTAACTCATTGTCAGGATCTGAACACTGCAAATACCAACATTTAGTGGCCCACAGATTCTGCATACATGTGTAGAATCTGTCAATAGATTACCTAAGAGGCACCCCAACAAAATAGCTTACAGTAGGGTAAGGTAACAAACACTCAGTGGTCATCTGCCCTCTCGGCCCTGCTGGTCTTGGTTGTCCTTTCTGTTTATCTTTGGGATCCTAAAAAAGGTCTCCAACACCTCTGTCCATGTGAGGAACAAAACTTTAATGCATTGTTACGCGCACACGGGCTCTCTTAGGCTCTCCCGGTGTCGCTAATAGCATTCAACAAAGACTCTTGATGTTAACTGCAGCAGGATGATTCTGTCGGCATCGGAGGGTAATTTGAGCAAAGTCTCCACCAGTCGGTGTTAACTCTCAGCAGCTCAGATTCTGGAGGGTCTAACACAGCTCATGCAGTATCTCCATCTGTAACACCTCTCCACTCATATTTCAGGATGCCATTAATGGTGTTGGAAACTAGTTTGCAATACAGGCAAGGAGAATAAGGAAGGTCTGTTTTTGAGGGTCATCTAGAACACGCCCCCGGGTTGCCCCAAGGCAAAACCCAACCTGTAGTTCTTCCTGCATCCAGCCATGTCACTGTCACATCAAATGACGACGCAGGATGCAAGAAGAGAATCAGATATGCAGCTGCAAACTCAGCTTTCTGGGTCAGCAGAATTTATTGTTTCAATTTTAATGCTTTAACTACATTTACCATCCACAATGATTGGACATCCACACAAACGTTGGCGAATTTCCCTCTAAGTAAACTTCAAATTATGCAGTTGGACATCTGCGTGCTTTCATCCTGCCTACAACATTCAGAGTAGAAATCAGTGCGAGACACTGCCATGTGGCACAAGCAGAGGAAAATCTGCTATGAAATATTGGCTACAGAACAAACAAAAGCCTCCTGCAAACATTAGTGGAACTCAGATGTTTTAACGATACAAGGACTGATCTCGTCTGAGCTCCATGAATGACACTACCGGACCTCGCTCAGTTTATGGGTTTATCTCCCCTTCTACATTTCACCGCAGGAGCCCAGGACTGAAAGGGAGAGTAGATGTTTACAGAGTCCCCACCCTCATAACAGCCTGTGTATGTACGTTTGTGTCTGTGCATTTGGAACAATGGATCAGATGACCTATTTTTCTTTTCTTTCTTTTTTTGTCCAGATTTGTATATGAGTGTTGTTCTATTCCTCGGATATATTGAGAGCATGTTTTTTTGTGAATCATCTGTTGGGAAGGGGGCGGTTTGGGTTGATTTATCAGATTTGATTTTTATTTTTAATTTCTGTGCTACTTTAGCCCATCCAGAGGAGAATTATGAGCGGTTCACAGTGTGATACGAAATCGCTCCAGACTGTCAACACCAATTATCTTTACTGCTCATGTGACACTCTAAATTTCAATCATCACCCTGTGTAAACTCCTAGATTATTTTGGACATTTAAATCTTCTGTCCCTGCGTTGGACACTCGTCTCCCCCTCCTCTGTCCCCTCACTGTCCGGGCCTTTGCTTATTTTATACAGTGACTACTGATGGATGAAAGGACAGGATAGGTAACACCGTATAAAATGAACTCTTTCAAACCAGCTGTCAGTATGAGGAGGCGTTTTAGACTTTGAAGGAAAAGTGTCTTTTTTTGTTTTACTCCTGTGAAACTCTGGCAGTTCCATGTGGGCATTACAGCCTGTCACAAAGAGCCAAAGTGCTCCGTTTAGCTCATGATCACAGACTGAAGGGCTTCGTCATCAATATCAGTTTGTAGCCATGGCCTGTGGTGTTGCTCTCTCTGACAATGCATTTGGAATAAGTTTTGACTTGACATGCCAGTTCAGTGTTCACAGATGTCTGAGGCAGTTTCTTCCCTGCGCCTGGACGTCCGCTGCGCTAATCCAGGTAGCTCCTTCTAACAATCACCACTTTTCTGTTCTCACCTGGGATGACATCTGCCACTCTACGTTTCTAGTGTTACAATTATAAATTCCCCCAGAGACCAGTTTCCCGATCGGATAAACATTTGTCTCGGCTGTCATGCTGCACCACAGAAAGCTGTGGTCCCTTCAACCAATCAATCTACCAATCTATTAACCATGGGGGCTCTCTGCAGTCTTTTCAGGGCGGCCAGCACCCTCTCCACCGCCATCCACGAAGTGTGCAAAGGGGAGAGCAAAAAGGTTTTTTTGCATGTCAGATTTCTGTTTCCCCTGTTCCTCCTTCCTGTCCCCTCTCTTGATTTTGATCTGGAAATGTCCGATAGCTTTTATTTAATGTGGAAAAAGAACACAGAAATAAATTATTTGATTTTTTTAATGCTGTAAACTGGGTTGTCTTGTCTGCTGTCTGGAGTGGATTTCATTAAAAACATAAGTCACACTGAAAGGGACAGTTCACCCCAACATTAAGAAGCACATTTGTCCCTTTACCCATAGTGCTATTTATTGAAAGGGATTGTTTCAGTGTGTGTTGCTGAGCGTTGGAGATATCAGCCATAGAGATGTCTGACTTTTCTTGAATGTAAAAGAACTAGATTGCACTTTGCTTGTGCTCAAAAATACATCTGAAAAACTCAACAGCAAAGTCTCTTCCCAGAAATCATGACCTGGTTACTGAAGATAATCCACAGACCTTGTTGTGAGCAGTTTCATGTAGGAACGACTTTCTTTCTACCAAACACCAAAATACAGGAAGTTAAGTCTTTGACACTTCAGATATCCTTTCCTGAAGACCCCCAAACCCTTTGTGTCATATGTGTCCACCCCAATGTCGAAATGATAACTACACCCTTGCGAATCCCCATGCAAAAGGAAGCATGCATCTGCTGCTAGAGGCTGTTCTCGTGCACTGTTCGCACATGCCTGCAAGAAGTGATGCATCCATGTGATGCAGGTTGGGGTGGTGGATGTGTCACAAAACAGGACTTTGCCCCAGGAGACTGGTGCTTGGAATTTTGTGAAATCTTTCCTGAATCTAATGTACGTAACTTTGCCTCAACATAACCTATGTAACTTAACGTTTAGTAAGCCTACATAACTTTGCAAAACGTCATTCATGGGATGCTTATTCATAGATGTATGAACAGTTGTATGAGCATATGTTGACTGCTAGCTTACTTAGCACCACTGAGCTAGCCAAGAAGGATGCCATTGATGTTTGTGTCTCATGCTGTCATGAGCACAAGCCTCTCCATCCACCCATTTTCAGCCACCTATCCGAAGCCAGGTCGTGAGGGCAGCAGGTTGAGCAAAGTATTCCAGGCGCCCCTCTCCTCTGCAATGCCTTCCAGCTCCTCTTGGAGGATCCTGAGGCGTTGCAGGCAAGACAAGATCATAAGCCCTCCATGTTCTGGGTTCTGGGTCTGCCTTTGGGGCCTCCCACCAGTTGAACGTGTCCTGAACACCTCAAGCAGGAGACGCTCAGGAGGCAGAACCACCTCAACTGGCACCATTCGACATGAAGGAGCAGCAGCTCTACTCTAAGCTTGCTCCAGATGTCCAGCTCCTTATCATATCTCCGAAACTCCGACCTATGGTTGTGAGCCACAAGCCTCTCGTCCAACAAAGTCTGTGGATTATCTTGAGTAACCATGTCATGATTTCTGGAAAGAGACATTGCTGCTGAGTTTTTCAAATGTATTTTCTTTTTTGGCCCTTAAAGTACCACGAGCACAGTGCCATCATGTTTCATTACATTGGAAAGAAGGCAGACGCCTCTACGGCACCCCAGGTAAGAGGAAAACTGTATTTTTGATTTTGGGGTGGATTGTCCCTTTAAGCTGTATTTATAAGAAAGAGTCACAATCAGACATCTAAAAGAATTGTTTATTTGATCACATCATATCTACATAAAGAGACAAAAAGTGTCCACTATTTTACATCACACTGACCCTAGAACAGTATTATTGCATATAAACAGGCAGTTGTACATTAAGCATATCAGATGGCTCATCAAGTTACAGAAAATATATTTTCTTTGAACTAAAGACAAGACTCTATGTTATCGTCATTGGTGTCACAAACATGGCTCATATGTTCAAATGTTTCTTTTCTGTCTGACCTACAGAAGATGAGTTTTTATTAAATGATTCCTCTTTTTATTAAAACCTTAAGGTTACTTGATTTTACTACATTTCATTGCAGCTCAGCAATGTGACATTCCCAGGCCGGATGTGTCGACCAGAGCGTCTCCGTTATCTGTCCTTATCTGAACCAGATTAAAACACAGAACCACTATTGTGCAAAAAATGAGCTGGTAGGAAAAAAAAACTTGTGAAAATATGAACTTCTGCCCCAGTGTCTTCAATGTTTGTGCTTATCCAGCCAACAGAAACACTTCATTCATTAGAGGGAAGTCTCTGCAACAGGTCCGCTTATGAACTGACTTGATAGTCATGCACTTAAAAAACAAAAGTAAGATTTAGCAAAATAATGAATTCATACCAGAGTTATATTGTACATCAAAATCTGTTTTATGCTACATACTTTTGTAGGATTATGGTATTTTGTATGAGCGTCTCAAATGCGTTTGAATAAAACATTTACATTTACACAAAATTCACATTTAAACAAAGCGTTAATTCAAATGAATCGTATGTGAAGGTTTCTGAAATGTGTGGGACTCTTACTTTAGGAAAGTAGTTCAGCATTTTGAGAAACTTGCTTATACCGTTTCTTACCAAGAGTTAGACGAGAAGAGACCATGAAGCTAATTCTGCAGCCAGGACACACTTAGCTTAGCTTAGCTTAGCTTAGCTTAGCATAAAGACAGGAAACGGAGGGAAACAGCTAGCATGGCTCCCTCCAGATAACAAAATCCATATACCTAACATTTAGCCGTTATTTTGAGGGTCCTGTGTTCCCCACTTTAACACTGTTTGCACTCATTAACCCTCCTAACGTGTTCTTGTCTCTTTCCTGTCACTCTCCAGCCCAGTCACCAGAAAAAATGTTGGCGTTGTACATTTCTGCAAACCACGCCACATTACAGGTTTCATATCAAGTATCATATCAAGGTGTCTAATGTTGACATTTGTGATCATGCGTTGGAGGAGACGGTGGATGGTGTGACACCTAAGGGAGATGCCTGTCAAATTGTAGACTGCTGTTCCAAACCAACACCACCAGTTGTTTTATGGCGTTCAACCAGGGTTTGTGGCGCCGAACCTTGGTGTTTTTAGTGGCACATTGCTGCATTTCCCAGTGCCATTTGAGCCACCAAAACTGGGAGTTTTTTACCGACTTATCCCTGCTTTTCCAGCGGCATTTGAGCCACCAAACATAAGTGTTTGAAGCCATCTCACCCTATCCATAACCAAGTGATTTCTTTTGCCTACACCTGACCACACACACACAATGTATCCGTTACAAAATGATGTACAAATGTAACTTATCCATGGTTTGCAAAAAGGTACAATGCAATATTTTTTCTGGTAGTTGGGTTGCACTTCTTGCCCCTAACATATCTTTTTTTTTGCTCTGTGCATCTATAGGATATACACCACGTTGTGGGGACAGCGGCGCCATCTTGAGAGCTACAAACTGTTATCTCTGTTACCAAAGTGTACTCACTCAGTCTAAAAGCAAGATTGTTTACATTGTCTGGATATGTGAGGGGAGGTAGTGTAACGGGGTCTTTTTGCCTTGACAGTGAGGTGTGAGAGGGGACGCCATGCAGCAAAAGGCTACACGCTGGAACTGAACCCATGGCCACCGCAGCAAGGACGCCACTCCTATGCACGAGGCGCCCACCTCACCCATGAGTCACGTAGTACCCCCAAATACTGTTGCGTGACCACCATGGCAGGTACAGGTAAGGGCCCTGACAAACCAAGCCATTGGTCATCCGTTGGTCAATGTTGGATTGTCGGTGAGCATCTGTCGCCCTTGTATTTGCGGTGTGTCCCACACCACTGTCTCAAGTCCGCTTTTTTTGGCGTCACAGCCCGACAGAAAATGAAAAGAGAAACAGAAATGACAAAAACAAACAACCTACTAAAATCAAGACGGCGTGAGATCGTAAGATTTTTGTTTTAGACATTGAGCTCTTTAGCAGAAGCGGAAAATATGCTTTGTTCTTTCAGCATTTGGTTGTGTTGTTAATTTGCTAACTGACTAACTTGCATCTTGAATATGTCCTGTCGGTCTTCCGGTCTCGCTTTATCAGTGATGAATACAGACTTTCGTTACCTGCTGGTATGGAGAGTTATTTCCTTTCATGCAGGTGCAGAACAAACGTGCTGGTTGGCTGTAGCATTGGAGTGTGTTAATGTGCAACTTTTTAGGTGAGACACAGACATCAGGAGGCAACGCACCAGTCGGCCTTCGTCAGTACTATTGCTTTGATGTTGGATTGGTGTGTTTGGGCCTTACCAAATCTACCTCACAAGATGGCGCCCCCATTCCAAAAATTTAACAGGGTGTAACATCAACTTCAGATTCTCTATTCAGAGTCTTGCTGGGAGTTAGATGAGAAACTGGACCACCACTCTCGACTCTCGTGTCTGTTAAATATGAAGCTAATGTTGCAGCCAGGAGATTGGTAGCTTAGCTTAGCTTAGCTAAGCATAAAGACTGGAAACGGGGAAACTGCTAGCAGTTAGCAGTTCTAAGGTAGCCAGTGGAGACTCCAGCCAAATAATAGTTTGAAACATGACCAGTAAAACAGAGGATTGACGTTGTTTTTTTTTTACACATTTCTTGTATAGGCTAAACAAATGTGTTCATTCGAAAGTTATAGAGCTGTTGGTAGGCAAGTCTCTACCTTTGGAGGGAGCGAAGCTAGCTGTTCACCCTCCAGTCTTTATGCTAAGTGAAGCTAACCAGCTGCTAGCCCCATCTAACTCGCTGATCTGGATATGCATCAAAGCAAATAAGCATATTTTTCAAAATGTTGAACACTTCCTTTAAATATCCTAGCTGTGTAGCAATAAATAAAACTTTATTTACACTAAAACGACTGACACCAAGTCAGCTACGTACAGTACATATATTTACATCGTTTATGTCATGTAACTTTTCTACAGCCCTTTTTTTATTACTTGACAGAAAACCGGCTGGTCTACACTTTCCCCTCAACTCGACCTCAATTTACCAGCAACACTTTCATCCTGCCAATACCCTACTAAAGCATATCTTTTTTTACAAGCAGCAATATTATTTTTTTTATGTCAGAGTGCATCGTGCCAGCCCCGCCTAGCCATTAGAGTCAACATCACCTGACAACATTCAGAAAAGTGCTCACATTGGTACTTTTAGAAAGGGGGGAATACAAAGCTGACCTTTGTGCAGCCTGTACAAATTGTGGCCTATACCCAGTCACTCTCTGTGGATCAGATGAGTCATAGCCAAACAGCCCAGGGTGATTGGAGATGCGGTAGTCATAGCGATGGGGGTGTTTGCCAAGGCTCCTTTACAGGAGCATCAGCCATTGGTCGCAGACAAAAGGAGCCCAGAAGGGACTCGTCAGAACTCATCCTCGGAGCTGTCGGCCAGCAGCATGGCCTGATCCTGGCGGCTGGTCCCGGGCTCTCGAGGTTGCTGGGGAGGAAGAATAAATAAATTTAATACAGGATTGATCCTTAATAACAAGTGAGACGAGTAATAATGAGCAATAAGTATAAGTAGGGTTATTGACCTCTGGCTGCCTGACCTTCCTCCTCTGGTGTTTGAAGCTGTTCCTCCTCTTGCGGTGAATCATCCTGATGCTGTAGAGGGCGCCGACGATAAGCAGGGCCCCAGTGATGCCGATGCCCACAGGGGCCAACATCCCAGACACATAACCCGCCTGTCAAGGGTGAGGACATGGAGGTCAGAATAGAGTGTAGTCCAGATAAATCCATTGTTTTACCCCAAATCTAGGCTAGAATTAGAATATAAATGGGGAGGGGGGTATGGTCAAAATGTCCGCCCCAATATATTGATAGAAAATATTATTGTTGTACTACAACAAGCATATTTTTAGCAAATGTAATTGTCATCGTATATAAACTTGAATTATTACTACTGGTTCTACAGTACATGTGGTTTTTCAAGTGGTGTTGCTGCAGAAGCTGCTGCTCATATGCTGTGGGTACAATCAATATCAAACACTGCACTATTTCTCTGTTTCAGTACTTGAAATATATTAACCTTCTCAGACCTGTTTGGCCGCCAGTGATCAAGCCTAACATCCCTGTCTTTAAATTAAGTGGCTGTAGCAGGCTGAGCAGAAGTAAGGCTAAAGTCTGGCGAGACACAGCGGCCATGGCCACTTTTCAAACCTTTGACCTTCCACCTCAAGATATCTGAATGGAAATGAGTTCTGGGTGCTCATGAGTGTCCCTTTGACAGACGTGCACACTTTACGCTAGTTTCATTGAGTTTGGCATTCAAATGTGTTATTTTCGCCTATTGTATTTGAATATTTCGGTGTGATGATGTTAGTCCCTATAGTACATCAGTGTGACCACTTTTTGAAACAGACATCACTGTATAAAATGACCTATAGTGAACTCTTTACAACCATGAAACTAGAGACCTTGGGCATTCAGAAGATGTATGGCTTTCATAGGTAAATTGAAGATAAGGGGGTTCCTCAGCAGTTTCTATAACGCAAATGCTCGCCATGTAATAACTGAAAAATACAGTTCTCACAGAAAAATTGGATTGGATTGGATTTTTCAATAGTGTTCCTCAAGGTTTTGGTGCCTTAATGTGGTATTTTTCAGGGATTTTTGACCATTTTTATCAATTCTCGAGTCATCAGAAATGCTTAAATTTAGCACAAAATCTGTGAAACAATGGCACCTAGTAGCTCACTGTACAGAGCAGGTGTCCCATGTACAAAAGCTATGTCCTTCTAGCAGTGGCTGCAGGTCTGATTCCAGCCTGTGGCCTTTTGCTGCACGCCATCCCCCCTCTCCTTCCCCCCTTTTACACTTAAACTGTCCTATCTAATAAAGGCAAAAGCCATAAAATCAATCTTTCATGAATCTGAAAAAATTCTGTGTAACAAATGGTATCAACCCAAAAGTTGCTGCAACAACATGTGAGATGTAATTGATGGTGAGAATGGCGTCATATACTTCCATCATCATGTTCTATATGCTTTAAACTTAAGTTTAAACAAGATAAGACAATGTTGTATATTTCTGTAATTGTCATAAAATGTCTTTTACCTGCTTTATCCTTAACACTGTCACCAAACTGACATTTTTTTGATCGCTAACCAGGACTTTTCCAGGACAGCAGGGGGCAGTCTTACCTTTTCTCTGATCAGCTCTACCCAGCTCCGCACTGGAAGAGAAGAACCAGAGATTCAGCAGGACAATATCATACAACACTACTAATCTCTTACACTGGTCGTGTCAGTGTTTCTGGTTGCTTTCATGATGGCAGGTGAAGGTATGAGCATTAAATAAACTATGTTAAATAGAAAGGTGATTTATATTCTGTCATACTCAGCCCCTGGTTGCGTTGAACCCAGACAGGAGGTGGAGGGATGAGGCTGTACGGAGGCTGCGTTGAGGATGTTTTGGGTGCTTCTGTCAGGTCCTCCTCACTCTCATCCTCCACTGATTCCTCAGAGTTCTCATCATCCTCGTCTTCATCGGGCTCCTCTGTTGAGAGAGCAAAATCAAAAGTATCTACTCAGCAGCCGAGAGTCACACTTATAATTGAAAATGAAAATTTGTGAAAAGCTTATTAAAATGCCATCGTTTTTTTTTCTTCCAGCTGGTGATAAAACTCATCTTACCCTCAGACTCCATCTCCTCCAACCCCAATCTGGATTTGTGCACCAGATGATGGGTTGCCATGGTTACCGTTGTCATAGCACGGTGGAAGGATGAGAAGGAGGGGCCGGTGGTGGGCAAGTTCTCTTCAAGGTTCAGTGTCCTCACAGCACCTACACGTCCCAAATCACAGTCCGAGGACAAAAAAAGAAAGAAAGAAAGAAAGAAAGAAAGAAAGAGCAGTGGAGGATTTCACACACTGTGTTTTAACTCACAGCTGCAACTGATAGCTCACGTTAAAGGGGAACTCCACCTCAAATAAGGATTCCAACATGTTATTTCCAAGACCTAGGAAAGTTTAGTCAGTATTTCTGAACATGAGCTAATGTCTCTCAAAGCCAGAAACCAAAGCCTTGTAATGTCTTCAAGTATTTGAGAGAGAGTTGCTGTCTGGGGACATAGGATTAATGTATGAATTTTGAAAATGCGTGTGGTTTCCCTTTAACGTCTAATAACATCTGAATCTCCTCAGACTTTTACTGAGCTTGTGTTGCATGTATTTGTTGTATTTCAGTGTTTTAAGAAATGTCACATGAATTTATTCTCAGACAACTTTCAAGTCTCTACAAGTTCATGTTGAAGTGACATGAATTCTAACCAGAGGCGGCCTACGGGGAAACTAAAACTAAAAAGAGGTGTGATAGTTTTCTTAATAGAAGCAAGGTGCTGCAGCATCATGATGTACTGTGGCTCCATGATGCCATTTTCAAACTGGGTTTTAAAGGGACAGCTCACCCCCAAAATCAAAAATACATACTTTTCCTCTTACCTGTAGTGCTGTATATCAGTCTAGACTGTTTTGGTGTGAGTTGCTGAGTGTTGGAGATATCAGCCGTAGAGATGTCTGCCTTCTCTCCAGTATAATGGAACTAGATGGCGCTCAGCTTGTGGTGCTCAAAGTGCCAAACAAACACATTTGAAAAACTCAACATCAATGTCTCTTTCCAGATATCATGACCTGGTTACTCAAGATGATCCACAGACCTTGTTGTGAGCAGTTTCGTGTAGGAACTATTTTCTCCCCACTGCCAACTGTACAACCAAAGGCTTAGATTTTGGGGTGGTTGGCAGGGGAGATGTCCCCCTCCATTTAGAACAGAGAGTTCTAGAGTAAAGGAGGAAGTAGTTGACACAAGATAGGTTGGGTTGATGGATGGGTCACAAAACACAGGACTTTCCCCTGGAGGCCGGTGTTTATAACCATGTGAAACCAAGTGAACTTACTTGAGCTACTTTAAGAAACACTGCCACCTATTTTCGCTTAAACCTAACCTACGTAACTTAACGTTAAGTATGTAAAGCTATTTGTAGGGTGCTAATTTGTTAGGTATCATATGAACTGTTGTATGAGGATACATCTTAGCTTAGTAGCTAAGGTTACAGCTCAGCCACAGGGGACGCCATGAATGTTTACATCATGAAAGTGCTCACAACAAGGCCTGCAGATTATCTTGAGTAACCAGGTCATGATTTCTGTAAAGAGACATTGATGTTGAGTTTTTCAAATGTATGTTTTGGCGCTTTGAGCACCACAAGCTGAGTGACATCTAGTTCCATTATATTGGAGAGAAGGCAGACATCTCTACGGCTGATATCTCCAACACTCTGCAACTCACACCAAAACAATTTAGACTGATAAACAGCACCACAGGTCAGAGGAAAAATATGTATTTTTGATTTTGAGGTGAATCGTCCCTTTAAATGCATATTGTCATAAGAATGAAGCATACAGTTAAGTCACTGCATGGATTATACTTTTCTGTAACTAGTAGCTCCATCACACTTCATATAAATGTGAAGTACACGTGTAGAAAAAAGGCTGAATCACGGCAAAACAGCATCATGATTCATAAAGTCATTGTTCATCGGAGCATTATCTTTGCAGGGAGATTCACTCACTGATTCTGGTGCTGCCACATCACCTCTCTCACCTCTCTCAGAGTGATCCTCCGCCTCAGTTCCGGCTTGCCGCTGTGAAACAGACGGACCCGATGAGCCGATTGGCTCCAGCAGCTCCCCGCCGGACGTCTGCCAAGGTGACGTCCAGTCTGGCATCAGCAGGGGTGGGGCGTGCGAGGGACCGTCGCTGTCTGTCTCCACGGTGACCAGCTGGTCCAGGTCCACCTCTGACTGAGGCATTCCTCCGGTTGCCATGGCAGCAGGAGGCTGAGCACTGCCGGGCACCAGCGTGACCGCCGCCACTGCCTCTGCTGCTGCCCCCTCTGGTGTGACATCTTCAAAAGGCTCGAAGATGAGAGGGAGCGCCTCTGATGACATGGTGCCCTCCGTGGCTTCATCCTGAGATGGTGGGACCACGGTGTCCACTGTAATCAGAGTCAGAGTGAGGGTCAGGACACAGAGCACGGTGTGTCATTTACAAAGGGCAGAGCTGTTTGGACCTTCTGGTAAAAGTCAGACTGAAAATTATGTTTTTGGGATCGTGCTAGGTTCAACTCAGTGGGTATCATTTAAAAGATTACAATACCAGCATGGGTGGATTATGTGACAATGGGCCCCTGGGCACAGATATGCAAAGGACCCCACCACCTCTCCTACATGCACTGGTCATTTGTGGCTTTGTCGTCTCTTTGTGGTTGTTTTTCCTGTTTTTGTGGTTATTTTGTGTCTTGATGCAGTTCCTTTGCTGATAGGCTTGTTCGGAAATCCATTCATGGATCCCAGTACCAATACCAGTGCCCTTAAAGTGATTCTGCTATCTATAGTACTTCATGCACCAATAATGTGCATGGATGGACTGTTTCCTTAGCATCTCAGCACCCCGAACTGAGAACTCTGTCAAATACACTGCACTCGACTTCACCACGCCACAGGCTGTGTGGGTTGTAGCTGCCCCTGCAGGAGTGTGAGCTCCATGCCTTGGACAGTTGTGACAGTCCGCCCGGCCGCACCCACACAGTGACAGGGCTAACTGTTAGAATTACTCAGCTATAGTTACCCAACAGCTATTAAGTTTAATGACAGAGATGAACTCTTTCGGTGTCGTTGTGAGTTTGTTCGAACTGTTTAAACGGCTTGATGTTTGATGGTAGCCACTGCTGCTGCTGTGTTAGCTCATGTTAACCAGGTAGCACTGGGAGGACAGCAGCTCTTGAGACGGCAGCAACAGAAAGTTTGCTGATATGGTGGGGAGATGGGAGAGTCTGGGATCAGACCCCCAGCACAAAAAGGATCGAATCCAGGTATCGTTTGACGAGAGGCATTTTGATACTACTTGGTACTGGGTTATTTTGATCGATACCTTTAAGGAGCAGCTTGTAAGATTTACAGGGATTCAGTGACATCTAGCGGTGAGGATGGACGGTTTGGCTAATGCTAATTTGTGCTCAAGTGATAACTTGAGATCCAGACATTCAGAAGGGTTTTTATTTGGAGCTGAATTATCCACAGAGGTCTCTTCCTCTCCAAAACAAACTGACCCGCTGATTTAAAGCGGTAAAAACACACAATAAAGCAGTTTCACGATCAAAGAATCTGTTTTTTTCCAGCACTGCTCGTCGCAGAGGGGCTGCCAACTACAGTGGTCGATACGAAAACGCAAATGGCCTTATCTAGAGCCAGCGTTTGGTTTGACTGTTCGGTGCTACTGAAGAAATATGGCGGTGTAACATGGCGATTTCCGTAGACAAGCACCCGCTCCCTATGTAGATATAAATGGCTCATTCTTAGGTTACTAGAGAAACACTTATGATATAATATTCCATTTCTGCCAATATAACCCCCTAAATCCTACACACTGCTCCTTTAAAAGGTTTAGAGTACCAGCTTTAGTGAGTAAACCGGGGCAAACGAGTGAGGGTCTTGCAGTTTCTTTACTCGCAACTCTGCTGACAGCTAAAATGTGAAGTGTTTACTTGTTTACTATTGCAAAGCAGAAAATGTATTCCGCATATATGGCACTTTAGTATTTATGTCAGAATGCAGCTTTGTGAAACAGGTACCTCTGTGGACACGCAGTCTTCTCATTAGAAGCACTTGCACCCTCTCCAGAGTGGAGTTCACAGTGCAGCTAAGACGCAGTGAAAAGAGGGTTGTTTGAAAAACGCTTCTTTCTAGATAAGAGGCGACCACGGAGGGGGCTGTCACAGGAGGAACCGTCACTGCATATCTCCCCGGCATTCCCTTTAGTCCAAAGCGTTTCTGAAGTCGGCTGAAAAATGTTTATAAAGACCACAATCCTTTTACATAATGCCATTTTGGGAATTGAGTTTTTTGTCAGCTTCCTTTCAGATGGGAGGAAGCTTCATCAAACAGACAATCCCCAAACGGACGTCAGGAACACATATTGGCTCAGACAGACTCTTTTAATCCATTTCCCTCGTCTTCCTCACTGAATAATAACCTGCCTGTTTCCTTACAATAGTTTGGATGGGGAGTGTGAAGGGTGGGGAAGAAAGGGAGGAGGTTTTGGGGGAGTGTATAGATGGGTTGAATCCTCCAAAGACTTGTGTAACACACCCAGCCACCAGCCCCTTTCCTGGCAGTTGTGTGTGTTCCCTTTTTTTTCTTCCAGGCTCGAGTCAGGAATAGAAAGTAATTAGACTGCCACGGGTCCCAGCTGGGGTTCAAAGTGGAGCGTGGAAAAGCGAGCGCCTTTCTTTGCCAATCATCAAAGGCAATCTCTGCAGCAGCGACGTGTCGTTTTCATTTCCGCCTCACTTTTTAATGAAGCCTCCTGAAACCCTGCAAAACTCCAGCAAGCAAGAAAATAGTGCTTGTTGTGGAAGGAAGTCTTTTAGGGTGACAATGGCTGCAGAGTATTACCTTACACCAGGGACTTTGTGTCTTAAGTTTGGACATGTTGAGGAAGGGATTACAGGAAGTTTTACCCCCTAAAAGAACGCCCATTTTACATCAACATTATTCTAGTTTCTCTGACCTACCTCCACTGGGCCTCGCCGCCTCAGTCCACAGGCTCTCAGGTCCATCCTCTCTGGGCATCAGGTTTGGTCCGATCTCAGGTAACAAGGGATCTGGGAGGGAGGTAGCTCCATCATGGCCCCAAATCGACAAGTGTGTGGAGGTCCGTGGTGAGACGAAGAACAAGGGAGGGATGTGGGAGGTCAGTTTCTGGATCTGTGCTCCAGGATTTGGAGGTTCTGTAGAGATTGCTTCTGGGTCTCTATCCTGAAGAGAATCACCATAACCAGGTAGCTTCATTCCACCTTGCTCTTCTCCCTCCCTGGTGGAGATGCTCAGCTGTGGTGCTGTGGAGGAGGCGAAAAATCCATCTGGCGTCAACCTTGTGGTGCTCAAGGCCAGGTCCAAGTGTCTTCTCCCACCTGTTGGCTGGCTGATGGCAGGTACGTCCTCCTTTATACCTTCTGGATCAACAGACGAAGCTGTCTCTGACTGACTTTGAGCGTCGCCCATCTCAGATGTGCTCCCAACCTTCCTTCCCCCGCTCCTTTGGCTCCATGCCTCTCCACCAGCCTCGCTCGGCCCAGATCTTCCATCAAGGCTGTCCCCGTTTTCCGTCTGCGTCACTGGAACTATCCCCTCAGGTCGTCCATGTGGGCCAGCCCCTCCTCCCGCACCTACATTCAATATCAGGCCAGTCACATCATGTTCTGCATCTGAGGGTTCAGACTTTACATCTGTAGGGTGCGTTGACCCGACAGTTGCTCCTGAGCTGGCGCACTGCCCGTCACAGTCCTGCGTGGGGGTGAAGTTGAGGAGGCGGACAGGGGTCCCGCAGACACAGAGACAGGTCCCAGCCAGGAGGAGGCGATGGAGCGTCCCAGACATCAGCATCTCTGTCTCGTCTCAGTGCCTGCTGAGAGGGGACACAGATGATAAACGCCAACAGGCTTGAACTGAGGTGTGAACAGCCCCTGCCTGCAACCTCAACGCTTTGTCATGTGGACACAGAGACAAAGCAGAGGTGAAGGTGTGTGGGGAGGGAAGATATAGGTGGCAGGGCACGTTGCAAATGAGTGCAGATTAAAGGGTCATAATGCAAAGTGTGTGTGGGTTTTTTTTTAGAACTTCATACAGCCTGTGATAATAACCACAGAGAACAGGATTAACTGTGTGTCTGCCTGCCTTTGCTTTGATGCTGCAGTTGCACCGTTTTGGAATAATTTGGGTGAAATTCCTTTTCATCTCAGACTCCTCTGTTCATTTTGTATAAACAGAAGGAGATGCTGGGCACACACACACACACACAGAGGGAGAGTGACAAACACACACACACACACACACACACACACACACACAGAGGGAGAATCTGACACAGCAATCCTTAGCACCCCTCCGCACTTCACCTATAAATAGCACCAGGTTTTCTCCTCCACAGATGGATCCATGAATGTTACATCTCCACATTAAACAGAGCTGCATGTCTCTGGGAAAAAGGAGGAATTTTCAAACAGCTTTATGCACATTGTCACACGCTGAATTGGATTAAAAAACAAAGCAAGCAACGTGTGCATGGCGCATTTGTTGCTTCACATGACGTGTCCGCAATAATCACCTAATAATCAATCACTGCTGGAGGGAAGGAGGATGAATGCGCGACACGTCTGGTGCTCACAGGGTGACACCCTTTCCCTGAGTCAGAGAGAAACCATCCTCATCCCCACCATGCACAGCCCTGATGATGCCACGGTCCAACAATATCACAACACAACCCACTTTCTTTTCTGCCTGCGCACCTCCCCTGTGATCAATACAGCGAACAGCCACTAAGCTCATGCAGTCCACCACTTGACAACACATCGGCTCCAGCGTTTAGACTGTAAACAAATTCACACTGCAGCATTACCATACTGGAGCTGATCACAGCCTCAGAGAGGAGACATACAATGCATTCCCATAAATCGCACCAGCCGTCATTTTCTGCACGAGGCGGTAATTATAAGGCTATAAATAAATACCTTCCAGAGTTCATGACGGATCGCGGTGCCTGGAGGACGCAGAGCTTCTCTTTGCAGCGTGCAAAGAAAAAAATGCAGCTCGCTCGAGTACGATTTGAGGATGTAGTCAAGTGTGGAAGCTGAAGGAGAGGCTTGTTGTTGTGCAGCTCGGCGTCACTGACTCAAAGTCTCAGTCTTCTCTACGTATGTCCGCCTGCTTCACAAGTGCAGCTGCCACCAAGTGCCTCAGATCTGCAGGATTTATTTGACACACGGAGCTGTGACTCCCAGTGGAGAGCAGCTGCTCCTTGATGAATTATCAGCAGTGCATTTATTTATTTATTGTTTTGCCCAAAGGGTCACATGAGGCTTTTAGTGGTGCTGAATGGACAGCTCCTTCACCTCGAGTTAAAGGTCGCCAGAGAACAGCGGAGACCACAGAAGAAGACACCTGTCAGTTTATGATGCTGTCACCATGAGCTCAATATCAAATGGTTTTTTTTTGTTATTGCTAAATATATTTAAGTGTATAATCACCTGTGCTGCAACAGAGGCAAATGGAATGTTTAAAATAATCCTAATGCATAAATTAGATAACTTAATTAGCAAATTCGCACCTATCTTTTTTTCCGATTGTTTTTTATTTATTTTTTGTGTACTGATTTCTTATAAACTCTTGTTCTTGTAAGTAATAATGATAATAATAATTATGATGTAGAAATAATAAGTGCTATACCAAATAAATGTATTATTATTATTATTATTATTGTTATATATGATATAATATATAAAAATGTGATGTCTTAGAATATATTATAAAATATATTATAAGTTAAATAAAAATAAATAATAAATAATGATGATGATGATAATAATAATAATAATAATAATAATTATAATTATTATTATTATTACGGGGGTGCTAGGTCGGGCACAGCCTCTATCTGCCATGAATTGTGGGTAAATTAATACTATTTAATACTAAAAAAATTGTATTTGATAATCATTATGATCAATGCCTTTACAGGGTGGTTAACTTGTGCCAGTATACATGCAAAAATTCTTTTGAATGGAGTTTAGCTCATGTGCAAGTGTATCTGATATTTTCGTAGGCTATCAGTGCAACTTGAGAAATGAAACTTTAACTTTTTGCATTAAAAAAATCTCTGATAAAAAAACAAAACAAGGATTGAGCACAGAAGCTCCATTATGAACTCACAGCTTTCACATGCCATCATATTGTGAGCATTTAGGATATTGTGCTACTTATAGAAATAAAGAGATGTTCTGTGGGCAGCTGATTAGTTTTTATAAGACTACTTTTGCTCTTTAAATCACAGTTATTCTAAAATAGCACAGTATACAAGCAGGTGCATGCATGGGCACTTAGTACCAAATAATAATAATAGATTTTATTTGTAATGCACTTTTCATCCTTGGATCTCAAAGTGCTACAGGTTAAAAACATAATAAAAACATAAGAAAAAACACTATAATTATCTCAATTTAACAGTCAAAGGCCTTTTTGGATAAAAAGGTTTTCAGGCCTTCTTTAAAAGAGTCCAGGCTCTGTACAGTCCTCAGCTGGATAGGGAGGTTGTTCCACAAACGTGGTGCGGCCGAGCAGAAGGCTCTGTCTCCCATGGTGCAGAGCTTGGTGCTGGGGACTGGGAGGAGTAGGCTGCCTGCAGATCTGAGGGTGCGGGTGGAGGATTGCGGAGTAATTAGATCTTGTAGGTAGGGGGGGTGCGTGTCCATTGATGCATTTGTGGGTGAGCAGCAGAATTTTGAATTGATCCGGGATGAGAAAGGGAGCCAGTGCAGTGAGTGTGGAATGGGGGTTATGTGCTCGTGTTTACAGACTCTCATCAGGACCCTGGCAGCACTGTTCTGGATGTATTGCAGTTTCTGGATGTTCTTGCCAGGAATCCCAATGAAGAGTCCGTTGCAGTAGTCCAGTCTCGAGGAGATAAAAACATGGACTAGCTACTCTGCATCTGGGAGGGTTAAAGTGGGGCGGAGTCTGGAGATGTTGCGAAGATGGTAGAATGAGGTCTTGCACAGGTGTTTTATATGGTCATTGAAGGTCAAGTGGGGGTCAAACCGAACCCCCAGATTTGTAACTGAGGAGGAGAGAGGGATGTGCTGGCTGTTAAAGGTAATTTGGGATATGTGTGAAGACTGAACCTGGTGTGGGGTGCCAATAAGAAGTGCCTCAGTTTTATTGCTGTTCAGTTGGAGAAAGTTATTGTTCATCCATGCCTTTATCTCCTCGAGACAGGTGGTGAGGGATGACTGGGCTGCAGAGGGGTTTGGGGCAGTTTTGATGTAGAGTTGTGTGTCATCAGCATAACAATGGAAGGACATCCCATGTCTGCTGATGACACAACTGAGGGGAGCATGTAAGTGATGAAAAGGAGGGGGCCAAGAAATGACCCCTGTGGAACACCACAGATGACAGGGAGCAGCCTGGACTTGCATCCTCCTAGCGAAACATATTCCTTCCTGTCTGAGAGGTAGGACTGAAACCACTGCAGTGCACGGTCAGACAGTCCAACAGTCCAACAAATGCTGCTGTCAGGTCCAAGAGAATGAGGAGTGATGGAGATCCTGCATCAGCTGCAATCAGTAGGTCATTCATTACTCTGAGCAAAGCTGTTTCGGTGCTGTGGGCTGACCGAAAGCCTGACTGAAATTTTTCAAACAGGTTGTTATGTTTGAGGTGGTCCTGAAGCTGGGAGGCAACTGCTTCCTCTAGTACCTTGGACAGAAAGGTGAGGTTTGAAATAGGCATGTAGTTTGCGAGAGCCTCCGGGTCCAGGGTGGGTTTCTTAAGGAGGGGTCGGATGACTGCAACCAGGCAGGATTTGAGTGACACTGCTTGCAGGTAATGATATGGTAATGTGGTAGGGTAATTGCATAATAAATGGTATAATAATTTGCTTGAATTTCCACCAGAGAAATGTGATTCATGGATGAGAACATTCAGTGATCCCATGTGGTGGCCCAGTGAGGTTACACCATCATCATCCGTGGGTTACATACAGTAGATGTAATGTTAACAGTCAGAGGGAGAACTTTCAAAAAAACTCTGCATCCATTTATAATTCATGTAGCCTATTAATAATTTTCATTCAGTGGAGCAGCTCCTCACTGTTACAGTTGTTCCTGGTGTCACCTTAAAAACAGGGGTTGTCATTGCTTCAAAGAGTAAAATACACAGCACAACACAACAATATAGACTAGCCTATCTGCAATATGTGACATTAATAAAGAGTAATTGGAAGCTGATATAAATTGTAGTTTGAGCTTGTTTGCAGTATAAGGTTATTTCTAAATTTTGTTCACGCTTATGCGTTTGAAAAGTCCACATTTCATTAAATAATCTGAAAAGTATTGGTTGAATAAAAGTTTCCATCGATCAAATACTTTCCATCACAATTTTGATCAGGCAACTCTATGTGACGTCATCGCGCTCTGAGGACCCAACCCAACCCAACCGGAAGACAACAGATTTTTTTCTCCATCCCCCTGATACGATGCACTTTTGCGATTGAGCACTGATATTATTAACTACATTAATAAAATGCCCTTATTTGATGGGTTGGGAAGTGGAGGAGAGAAGACTGCGATCGTTATTGACTTAGGAGCAGCATTCACAAAGTAAGTGTCAGCCGCTAGCACGCCTTGCTACCAATGCCGGTCCGGTTAGCATAACATGTTAGCATTTGTGATTAGTTTCTTAGCTAACCGCCCGTGTTTTAGCACTTTAAATCTAATACAGGGGTTAAACCTTCACAAATACATGGTTCAAAATTGTATATATTGGTAGTAAATGCTGCTACGTAGCGGTGTTAGCTAGTAAGCCACCCAGTTAATGCTAACATGTCAAGCTAGTTTTAGCTAATGCCAAATTAAAGCTAAGATAAAACCCAGTAAGTTAATAAAAGCAATGCTGTTGAACGCCAGTGACATCATAGCTAGCTACACTTATAAATGAAAGTTTTTTTTACCACCCTATATATTCGTACTTTGGTAAATTTTGGACAAAGAGTCCATTTAATGCTAAAGCTAAACTTGATAAGAATCCAGCTAGACATACTGTGTTACAGGTATTAAGTAGCATTTATTGATGCTAATTGGATTATATTAGATATATAACTGTCCAAATGAACAACATCTCTGTTTTGCCAGTTGACTGTTGTTTCAGTGACCTAAATAGTGTGTTTTAAGCACCTGCTAATCTGATAGCAGTCTGCTACCAAAAGTCACTTAAGCTGTCACCAAACCTCACACACCTCTCTACATTTAGGGTGTTTACAGCAGCAGCACACGACTTGAAATTTGCCATAAATGCTACAGTTCAATTCTGTATGCCATCCTGCTTGATGTTTAGCTGAATGTCTGATATTATAAGATGAGAAACTAGCCTGAGGCAAGTCACATGAAGATCAAGAGGACTGTTGGCTTTAATAATGATGTCTTTGTCTGCAGTTTCTGTCCCACATCATTTGACACAACGCAGCACTGTTATTTTATTTCTATGCAACTTCAGTAAAAGGATTTTGCCAATTTTTGCCATCTTGCTTATATCATAGTGTGTGTAAGAGTCTGAAAAAATGGTTGCTGATTGCATTAATCAGTAGGATTACAGCAATACTTAAATTACAATACAATATTATTGTAATTGTATAGGTTTTACAATATGCTGAGTGTTACGATAACATGTGTAACAATATAACATTATTGTGATAGATTGCAATTAATTAACTTTTTCAACTGAAAAATATGTCACCAAAGAAAATTATTGTCAGTATATGTTCTATCTAATAAGATAAAGTTTTCAGTCTGTTCATCTCACTTCATTTTTTATATTTATATAATAAAGAATTGCTCCTTGGCATCCATGTATCCGTACAATATTGTCATGAAAAATATCCCGACCCTTTGCTGATTAATCCCCCCCACCCACCCCTATAAATCTTGCTTGTAATATTACTGAACAGTCGTGAAATAAAATCTTTTCTGCACATCTTCTAGCTCTCTGCTCACAGTTTCCTCTTCTTGCAGATGTGGCTTTGCAGGGGAAACGGGGCCCAGGTTCATAATTCCGAGCGAGATCCGGAAACCGGGGCAGCAGCAGGTGAGACACTGCTGTGCCTTGCCAGGTTCAGTAATTTGTTTGGAAATTGCAAGATGTTTGTTAATGCGGTGTGTGATGTCTCACTTTTTAGGCCACCAAAGTGGTTCA